CAACAATCCCAACTTTTTCTTGGATTACCAAAGGTAACATCTCACACCACCCCAGTGCACTACTTGTGCGTTGGTTTCTGCTCCGGACCAAACAACGGAATTCGAAACAAAACACACACCCGCAATTCTGGCGTATGCTAATATCTTCCCTGCGCTCTTCCCTATCGGAAACATTCCGCAGGCCAGGTGTTGATAGCTTAATCGGTTAAATCCGAAAGCGAGACACTTTTATTCTGTTATTAATGTTTTCGACTTGTTTTGCAACGAGATGTTTTGGGAATGAAACTCAACCCCGGTCTCTTGTAGGTGTTCTCAAAGAGCGCGAGTTCAACTGGTTCAGTTCCTTTAAGTTTCAGATCACATTATAAAAGTCATTACCGACGTGTTGGTTACCATATACGACAAAGCGATGTAAATAAAAACGGTATAATCCTAGCAAGGAGGGCATTAGACACAGGCAGGACAGGGTCTCACTGCAGTTTTCCCACTGGGCTGTTCCAAACGATTTTGCTATTTTCTTTTGGATTTTTGAAACGTGTGTTACTATTTGTAGCTCTTTATTATTCCTACTGTGTAAAACTGTACAAAGAATTCTTATCACTTGGCCCTTTTAAATGGTAGACTCTTAAAAACAGGGCAAGGGGGGAATTCGTGCAAGTGATTTTAACCTGCTCCACCTTCAAGTGACCTGCCAAATGCTCTTTCTTATTTTATAGACATCTGGGAATTCCATACATGCCTTAAACTCCAATTACACACCTTCTTCAAAGGACACGTGCTTTGATTTGCTAAGAACATTAAGCGGACTGAAGTCTAAAGAAACTGGTGCAGAAGTTAATGTAAAATGCATCCTGGGCAATGTTTACTGCGGGCAGATTGTGTTGTTCAGCAAATAAAACAAGCTCTGGCGCGAGCTAAATGTGTGCGCCTTCTTTGCTCTTAGCCACATGCATCCCATGGCAGTTGATTCGGGTCATTTCCCCCCCCTACTTCCAAAAGACACTAATTTATGGCAAAGCCCGCTTTTCACAAGGGGTCTGCCCCCAGCTTGCAGGGATGCAGGTGAAGTGACTGATCGTGTGAACAAGAGCACACCGGACTCTGGAGAATGGCCCCAAAGTAGCTTCCGCCTCTGTTTCTTTACAGTTCTCTTTCGATACATTCTGAGGGTTCGGGGACCGATCCTGCTCCCCGTAGACGCCCTTTGACTGCAAAGGGACCAGGATCCTTTACAATCTTTTATCCTCTGTCTGCTGGTCTCTCTTTTTAACGAGAGCTTGTCCCAGCTACAGCATCACCCCCTCGGTTACTAACTGCGGTTCCCATGTGGGAGGGATCGGCACTGTATTTACCCGCCAGGTCCTCCCTATCCACACGCAGGGGCAGTGCTGTTTACCCGCACCGCAGGTGAACCCCTTTTCTCTACTGAATTTTGTTTGGATTTCCGTCACATTTGTTCCCCGCACGTTTGTTTGTTTTTCTTAAAATTACAGATGCAGGGGAAACCGCCTGACATCATGAGAGCGGGACAAACGCTCACTTTGAAGGATTCCTGGGCAGGACTTCAAGTGAAATCATATGCCTGAGAAGAATTTGATACTGGACTAGAGAAAATAGCTAGTTCTGAGCTTGCCAAACCGTGGAATGTGCAAAATGCTCCACTCTCTTGCACAAGGCCGAGGGTAGCGCCCCAAGAATCTCCATGGAATTTTCTGAACCTCAAAATTGCAAAGCTGTGCGCTTGTTGCATTGGGCAGAGAGATACAAGGTATACATCTGGGCCCGAATCCTGGAACCTGTACTCGCTCTATTAGCCTACAGGCGTGAGTACAGGTTCCAGGATCCGGCCCCTTGTCCCTGGCTTTCCTTGTAACAGACATTGGGTTTGTTAGCCTGCACAACTTTCCATGGATTGCCAACAGGACACGTTTAGTCTGTTCATAGCTATGGTAACAAAACATGGGAACATTATGTATGGGAACCTCATCTATGCTACATTTTATTCTGGAAATAAACTGTATAACTTTGTGCCTTGCAAAAAGAATCAATCAGAAATCATAACTTTCAAAGACAGAGTCAGTTTTTGATTGCAGGAGTGCTTAACATTCCCAGAAGACGAATTAATATTTTCTTCAATAAGGCTGAATCTGATTTAATAGCTCTTGGCTCAAGTGTAGGGGGCCACACAGTAACAAAATACCAAACGGGAAAGGTCACGTTTGTAGTTTTAAATCAGGATCATCTCGTTATGTTTTTTTTTTTAAATAAAGATAACGATTGATACTAGACAAATAAAACTGACCCATTCTAATGGGAACAATACAAATATTGGGTATATGGTATTTGCCACCTTTTTATAGTGATCACTGCAAAATATAGTTTAAATTTCCTCCTAGAAAAGGTACAAGGCAAGTAAGGATAGCATATGCAGTAATTAAAAATGTTGAAAGTGACTTGATTTTTTCCCCCCAGCGTATTTCAAGTTGCTGGAAAGAGTTGATGTAGATTGGGCCAAATTCTGCACTCACTTATGATGATGTCAATCAGGACGAACGACATCCAACCCAGCTGACTTCTTCTGAATTTTTCACCAGTGAAGTGCGAGCAGAATCCCCCCCCCCCATGTTATTATCCACTTTTCTGCTTTTTTATATTTAGTAAATAATCTGTTCCGTAAATTCCCCTTTCCTTCAAAATTACCCAGCAGTTAGTTACCTATTTCTCTCTTTTGCAAATTTAGGACAAATTATTCTTTTCACCCTGGTGATTTCTTTAGCATTTGTCATGATTCTCAAAACATTTTCTGGTGAACCTTCCTCTCTCTAAGAGAAAAAAAGCAAAAGGTACAAGACATTCCTTTTTTCACCATCCCTTTATGTAAGCAAAGGTAGCAGAGTAAGCATTACCTTCTCCTTGATGGTGGGCTCTCATCATTGCTGGAGCTTTTCAAGAAATCTGAATATCAAGCGATCAGACCTTGATGGAGGGAGTCAGAAATCCACTTAGTAGGACCACCGAAAATAGCGAATCCCTCTCTAGCACACACAAAAATGTCACCCTTCTTTCCGATGCTTAGTGCTGGGACTACCACAACCCAAATCCAATTTTCAAAGTCCTCGCTAATCCTTTAATATAAACAAACACTGCAGGCTTTCTACTGTAAACACTGCGCACTGGTCTAAAATATGCACGATATTAAATTCATAATACTGTTATGTCAGCAATATATGGTAATATGTGGATATGGAAACAAAAACAGTCAGGCAATAAAGTAAACTCAACCTGGGCTAAGCAAACATGACTTGTTTTGAGTAAACACACCCTCTTATTTACCCTAGACATTGACTGAATCTGTTCAGCAAAAGGAAATTATAGTTTGCAACCCAAACGCCTTTTGTGAGTTACTACAATTTGATCTAGAGTCTTATTTAGGAGCTAAACAGTGACCGCCCACTTTCCTGTTAGTATTAGCATATTGATCACAACCTGTAATTTACAAAATAAAATAAACAAAGCATTGCTTGTCAGTGAGGTGGTTTGCTTTATATAGAAATAACAGCTATAGCTAGCGGTATATATTAATCGGTGGAATACAATACAAATACAATGATACCGATGACTATCCTAGAGAGACTGGCTATTTTTAGTATTTTAAATAGCTGCCCCTTCCACAATTATTTTGATCATTGAAGCCCGAAGATATATTTTCCTTTACAATTGTAGTTTTACCCTACATTCGATTTTAAACCATAAAAAGCGGGGGGAAATAAAGACAAAGATGCTTCCTAAATGGCGAAGCACTCCTGTTTATACTTAGAAAAGGAAAACAGCGTTAGGTTATTGTATCCCACCCCCTCTTACAACCAAAAATAAGGCTTGTAAGCCTTGCAATTAAAATATTAAAACACCCCCTTCTTCATAAAACCCAAATATCCATTTGGTTTCTTATTCCAGCCTTTCTTTGACTTCCCCTTGTCTGTTTATGGGCCTCTTTAAAACGGATGCGCTCTCTGTCCTCCACTCTTTTTTAGTTAAATCAATACAATTTGCTGTGCACAGAGCGATGGCAGGGGGCATGCCATCTTTCTGGCTTACATTTCGGAGGCAAATGGTCTGGGGAAAGAATGCCATTACTTTAGATCGGTGGCTAAAACAATTCCGTTCTTCACTTAATGTAACATTATTTGGAGTTCTGATTAAAATAAGGAGACACAGAGAATATCCGACCTCAAAGTCCAATGAGCACTAAAGTAGAATAATAAAGCTGTCTCTATAAATAACTTGCCTGTGTCTGTCAGTAGCTAGTTTATTTGCGTTTTTCGCCCCGTTTGTTTATATTAGTGCCCCCTCTCTCTTGGGTGTCTTTACAGCTCAACAAGCAGGTATTTATCTCCAGCTTCAACCCAGCTTTTTCATATAGACCAAACTTTAAGGTTCTTAAAATTTCAATCATATTTATTTATTGCAGAAAAATAATATACAATGATATTTACAAAACAACCATAAAAATATGAATGCATTTAGACACCGGATCTATTTGCATTTTAACATGGGTCATCAATAAATAAATAAAATGTTTATTTTTTTCTCAGAGGAAAAAATAATAATAAAAAAGTAGGAACCGGGTAGGTTTGTGTATAACAGTTTGAGCCCAGTTTGTTTTCCCCCTAAAAAGTTTTCATCTCTAATGTTTGTTTTGTTTTTCATTATGACCATTCAAGAACGGCGAAAGTCCACAATAATGTATTTTCCTTTCATCAATGGCTCATAGGCACGACCTCTTGGGAATGCATGCATGCAAAAAAAATTAAATTCCAACATTCTTCGTCAAAATTAAAAAAAAAACCAAAACACTGTTCAGACTTCTATCAGAATGCAGAGATGTGTGGATTGTGTAGATGCCTATCTGGGTGGTCACTGTCCAAGCACCCTTGCCTCTTTCTTTCTTTAAGTGCTCCCCACGCCCTGCTTTGAATTTGGATATAGCTCTTCTCATTTCCAAGAAAATCCTTGGCATAGTTTTTTTTAATTATTTTTTAAAATGGTATCCAACTTCAGAGTCTCTAGACTGTCCATTTTCTCCTTCTTTGGGAACAATGTCATCTGCAAAAACCCAGAGAGGGGGAGGAAAGGTTTGTTACTGATTCTTTTTATTTAAAAAAAATGTATGCAGAAGGGAAGAGAGCGAGCGAGCAAGCTGTGCTATTTTGCCTGTGACACAACTGACCGTGATCCAGCACAGCAACACAATCAGGAGGAATTAAAGCACCCGGCGGTGGGGGTGGGGTGGGCGGGGGGACCATAGCAGGGGGAAAGGAATTGGGAAACGCACACTGGGAAGTGTACCAGAGACACCGATTCCTCTTTTTAAAAAGCGAATTTACAATGAAGGTTCGGTGGAGGAATAATCTCTCTCTCTCTCTCACACACACAGAGCAAGGACAGGAAACCATCCGAACCCCCACCTTTGCTCATGCAACGTTGGCTGAAGCGACCGCGTTTCCCCTCGGAAGCCGTCTGTATGTTACACCCGCCCACGCTTTGCAAATGTCCCGAGTGGTTCTGGTGCCGGGCTCGAGCCCTCTCCCGGGGCCGCTTGGCGGGGCACTGGCTGAACAGCGGGCCCCTTCGAGACGCCTCCCGCTGGGCACCCAGCAAGCGGAGCCCTCCCAGCTCACTAGCGTTGGGCTCGCTCGGTGCAGGCCCAAGCCCAGCTATTTCCCAGCTCTGCCCCAGGGCTCCATCCCCCCACGCTCCCCCCCTCCCCAGCCCCACGCGCGCAGGGATGGGCTCGTCCCCGGGCCGCGTCCTGCCTTACCTAGGTCTCCTTCCCTGGGGGTGCGGGTGGGGGCCCCTCCCTGCTAGTGGGATGCGGACATGGACCAGGCGCCCTCCATCCTCCACACGGAGAAGGCGTAGCTGAGCCGCTCGTGGGCCACATAGCTGCAGCTGGCCATCTTGGAGTCCAGCTCGTCGCTCTGTAAGACCTGGTAGAGGAAGTCGATGTACCTGGCCGCCAGCTTGAGGGTCTGGATCTTGCTGAGCTTGTCCGAGGGCAGGGTGGGGATGATCTTCCGCAGGGCGGCGAAGGCTTCGTTCAGGGACTGGGTGCGCTGGCGCTCCCGCACGTTGGCCATGACCCGCTGCGTCTGCAGCTCCTCGTAGGACTGGGGGCTGCCTCCGCCGCTGCTGCTGCCGCCGCCTCCCCCGGCGCCGGACTTCTTGCCTCGCTTGCCTTGGGCCGGGCTGCACGGCTCCTCCCCGACTCCGACGGCCGCTCCTGCGCTGCGCCGGCTGGATCTCCGCTTGCGCCCCCCTCGCTTGCCGCTGGGCTGCTGCTGCCGGTCGGGCTCCTCTTCGCTGTTGCTCAGGCTGTCGTCGGCCGGGGAGACTGGAGAGCTCGACTCGTCCTGCTGCATCATCTCTGGGGGGGGACACACGACGCGGGCCCGGAGGGGGGCAGGGAGAAGAGGGGGGCACCTAACCCGCCAGCTCCCCCTGGATCGCGGCTTGCGGGCCTGCGAGGAGGAGGAGGAGAGGGAGGAGGACCTCAGTTCGGGGGGTGGGGGGATGGCATCAGGATCCAGGAGAAAAAAAAAAACCACCACAGCCCACCCCTCCCGATCCCTCCTTGGAGCCCCTTCGAGGTGTCTGGGATTGGGAGAAAGTTGCAGACTTGGAGGCTCTTATAGCTCCTGCTGGCGGAAAGTTTGGGGCAGCGGCGGTGTCATCGGCCTGACGTGGAGAGGAGGGACTTTGCTGAGCTTTATAGGGACGTTTCCGCTCCCCCCTCCCCCAATTATGTTTCCAAACCATTCACAAGTGATCTACCCCCCTCCCTCCGTCCATCCCTCCCTCTCGGGCTCTTCCCGTTTACACGGACGCTTCGGGGGGCTTCGCCACTGCGCCCTGAGCCCCGTTAATAATTGGGAGCACGGCCCTTATTGTTCGGGCTGCACGGGGCTGGTTGAACCACGAGCAGCTGGGGCGTTCTGCCCCTCTCCCGTGTCTCCTGTGCCATGGGCAACGGCTTGCAGAACTAAGGGAGGGAGAAGAACCGAACAAGAAGACGCAGTGTACCGTGCTGGCACACATACCCCTCGCTCCCATCACCTCTGGTGCCTGGGCTGCATTTCCGGGGGAGCCAAGGATTTCTTGGGCGGTCTGTCCTATTAGGGTGATGTAATCTGCGAGGGGGAAGCCTTCTTCTATGTAAATATGGAGAAATACCGATATTAGCTCATTTCACGCATATCCTGGAGTGCTTCTTCTGCCTTGGGGCGAAAAATACATAATTGACATAGTACTGACAATCAAACACTTCGCATCCAGAGGGAAGTCAGTGAGGAGACTGTGTTGTACAACTCCTCACTGCTGAGATTTCATTACTGGTGATCGGGCAGTAAGTTTTCCCTCACTCAAAGATGTGTTGTGGGGGGAAGAGAGCGCCAATCTGTTTTACATTTGGTTTTTTTTAGGTTTGCATACACAGGTCTTGGTCTTCCCCTCCCAGTTCCCTACCAGAAAAGCGCAGGTGCTGTGGTTTTTTAACAACACCTCAGCTGCAAACCGTAGAAAGCCTGCGTTGGAAAGCGAGGAGTTGCAATGCGACCAGTCAATATTTTAGATCACTGCATCAGGAAAGCGCAAGGCTGTAATGCAGGGTTTACACAACACTTTGTTAGATCTCGCTTCTCAGCCGTGGGAGTGGAGTTCTCTGTCTGTCTAGGCACCTTGTCGAAAGTCTAAAGCACAGGACAGTACAATGATAGTCCCGAATTTACGTAGTTCTGTTCCCCGCACGTATTCGGCTAGAAGAAGAAAAGAAAGATGAAATATACAGATTGAAGGAATCGAGAATATTAACACGGCTGTTCTAAGCAGCAAAGATGGATGGGGGGAAATCCTAAGAAAGGGGAAAAGCTTACACTTTTGAAGGGAACGGTGACTTCTTTTATTAATGACGTAATCTAGTTTTATCCCCCCCAATCTCAGACTGTTTACTATTAAGAAACACAGAGAGCCTCAGCAGATCCCCAAATGGTGTAAATTGTCACAATCCCTTTGACTTCAGTGGCAATTGACCCCAGCTGAGGATCTGCTCCTGGGTATGTTGAGGCCGTTTGCGAGGGAAGCGTTCATTGATAAAAATCTGAATCCAATGCCCTGATTTCTTTTTGCATGGCTAGAATCTTCATCGTTGACATGCATAATAGATACTATTCTAGTTGGCGTTTAGAAATAACTGTGCAAACTGGCTACTTCGTTGTTATTTTATTATTATAGTTCCGAACAACGAGGTTGGACTCGTGGTTGCATTTCCCCCACTGATTTAAACAAAAAATTGCTCTATCCTTTATAAATAGGGGTGTAAAAAGCAGATGGGTTACTCACTGAGAAGTGATAAAGACACCACACAGCTTCAAGAGCTGACCCGCACACACTGACAGGGTGCACGTGCAAAGCGCTAGTTGTCATAATTCCATTGGCTTTGCGAATATGTCACTCTACAATGACCAATAGGCCTTTCCCATTTGACATTGTCATCCTCCCTTAGAATGAGGGCTTGCCTGGGTGGGACTATTTTATCATTTGTTCCCAAAGGAGTATCTGCCCAACTCCCAGTAGTAATCTAGTACTTCTGCTTTGATGGCAGCTGGCAATGCAAGAGTAACCTTTGCTAGGATGACAATGACATGTCTTTCTTTCTTTCTTTCTTTCTTTCTTTCTTTCTTTCTTTCTTTCACTATGATACAGGCAGTAAAACTGTAAAATGAGTGGTATCGGAGGGCAATCTAATCTAAATATTATCTAGCAAGGAAAAAATGGTGAAGGAAGGTGGGGGCGAGGGGCAGAGAGTCCATAGTATTAGTAAGCTAGTCAAAGAGTAAAACGCTTTAGCCTAAAAGGATGCAATCAAAACAGTTTTGCCTTCGCAATCATTGATCTCCGTGGCTTGGTTCTGAAAGAAGTGACACAAATCGTTCACCAGAGCACTGAACTTCGAGCGCGTTTAGTAGCGCATGGCGGTGGTGGATGGGGCAGGAGAGTCTAGTCTGCGCGTTATTCGTTAATCTAAAGAACACGTTGAGAGGAGCCTAAACAAACGTTCTTTTTTTTCCCACCTTAAAGGAAATGGAAACAGTGGCTGGGGAGAAAGTGATCTTTTTGGATGGATGGTCTTTAGGGTCACTCTTCTCTTCCTAATGAAAAACTCAGGGCAAGCAAATGGCCGTAGCTAGCCGAATAAATGTTAAAAATGGTCCAGAAAAGAAAGAAGGAAAATCTCCTAACTATGGGGTTCCTGACGTGTGCCACGCTCAGTTATTTTCATATTGCAACTCGTGTGAAATGCCCTGTTTTCTTAACTGCACGGGGTATTTTCAGCCAACAGTTGCATTATCTGTAATTTATACCCTCCGATCTGCTATAACCACCCAACAATCGACATCAGGTTGATTTTTAATAAACCACAAATCAGTTGCTAGAAAGAGAATTAAGCTAAGTCCCTTAAGGTATTGCCAACACAAGAACAAGTCTGGAAATCGAATGAATGTATGTTCTTACAGCATGCGAATGTATTATAAGCGAGCTGCTAGGCAGACTAGTTAAAACTGTGAAGGACTTTCCATTCTAAACCCTTCTTTTCAGCTGGTCTTAAAGTTTTCAAAAATAGCCTTTTGAAGTTTGAAAGTTCTCTTGATTTCAGCCCAAAGGTGAGAGGTTCCTTTCTCTGTGTGTGTAAAGTTCAAAGAGAATCAGTTCAGTATTTTTGAATTATGCAACTGAGGGGGGGATGCAGAGTTTTCCACTCAAAAATATATCTTGGCCATTTTGTGTGCTCAGATAACATGAAACTGTCTTTATTTAAAATCTGTCAACTGGGATTCCGCAGCGCTTGGTTTCGGTGGGAGGTTTGCCTGCGCGAGGACTGAAGGAAACAGTTCCTGGGCATTTAAGAGATTGGATCTTAAACTGAGAGAGAACACTGCTCAGCACACAGCAGCAATGACTTCCTTATTCTGTCATCTGGGCAGTAGTTTATAAAACTGTAATATTAAAATCTATTTTACAGATGTATAAGTGCATATTGAAATGAATAAATGGTGGGGCTCATAAGAACTTGAGTTTACAGCAACTTGATGATTGAAAGATCAGGTCTGTGCTGGTCAGTATGACCTTGATCTCATTTGGGTTTTAAAAACTGTCCTGGCTGGTTATGGCTAGTATTTGGATGGAAGGCCTCAAAAGGAACAGAGTCTGTGAAACATGTACAATTTAGGCACCATCCAGTGTAGGACTACCCCAGACTGAAAAAATAAAATCAGATTCTCCTTTAGCTTAATAGATAACCCCACTGCTTTTAGGTGTAGTGGCTCAGTGTTCAGTTATGAATTATGGGACCATGAGAATTCTAGTTTACATTTTTTTTAAATCCATGAAATTCTGTGAGAAAGTGTACGAATTGAAACACACAATGAATTAGAAAGGTAATGTTTCTACCAGTGTTTCTCATTATACACACACACACAAGCACAGATTTAACAGGATGTCCAGTAATGCAACATATGACACACATACAAGGTGGTTGCATTAATGATGATGTGAAAAGCCTTAACTTTAGAATTTCCTGATATGTTGTACGTTTAGGGCCTGATCCAAATCCAATTGAAAACAGGAGAAATCTTTCCACTGGTTTCTATGAACTGTGGTCAATCCTATACATTCTAAAGACAGTACTATACATTCTATACATCCTAAAGACACAGAGTGAAATTGTGGTCCTTTGAAGTCAATAGCAAAAGTCCCATGACTTCAATAGGGCCTGGATTTCACCCACATACTTTCATATTGTATACTATTTTCAAAGTGTGTAGAGGGAAATGTGCATAAATTCTATAATGCCACAGTACAGACAGATACAGAGGAGCACAAAACAGAGGGATATGGTAAAGTATAAGTGAACATGACAGATCCCATTTTTCAGTTTCTTTTTCCTTTCTTCTTTTACTCTGTTTCACCTTTCAGTCTTTCCATTGTTATTGTTGTTGTTCAGAAACTATCGCTATATAAACTTTAAAATTCAGGTAGTCTAGTGACTGCTCTGGGGGAGCAAAGATTCATGAGTTCAACTTCTGTTCACTTGGGACACTGTCTCCAAAATGTGTGATTTTTTTTATCCAGTTGTAAGTATACATTACTTGCAAAGGTATTGTGCTGTAATGCTAATACCACAAGAGGGCACAATTTCCTATAGAACCCCGTTTTAAATAGAGGTAGCTCGGGAAGAGCTTAACTATGACATCAGTGGAGGAAATGGTAATACTTTATCTCTCTTTCCTACTTAAAATGTTGGTATAAAGATATACAAAAAATATACTTTTTTGCTGTTGAGTAAATCCAGAATAACTCCACTGATTTCACTGGAGTTACATAGGATTTACACAGGTGTGTCTGAGAGCAGAGTTGTATCCTGTATTTTTCCTTTCTATTAACATTGGGCTTGAAGAACATCAAAATATCAGGGGTACAGTAAGTCAGAGTGGCTATATTTTAATTCACCACCACCATTTCTTCTTAGTCCCACAAACTCACTCCCACCCTCTTCAAACGCAAATTCACTTTTTCTTACAAGTACCAACGAGTGATGCCACCAGCTAGACTTTAGTGATTGCT